ATTTTATTTGATAGTAAAATTCTTCGTGTAAAATATAAACTTCTACTTTACTAGATGCTGCTATAGCTTTATTTTATCTTTTTTCTAAATTTAAAGCAATTTCTTCGAGGCCAAAAACTTCGGAACTTCCTAAGATACATAAAGTTTATTATTTTTTTAATATTTTTTTTTCATTTTTAATGAATTTATTCAATAAATTTTCATCATCATTTTAATTATTATTATTTTTTTAATTTTATTCTTAAATAATTTGGACTTCCCCTTATTTAATAATAAAAATATTGAAAGGCTTTTTTAATTCAAAATCGTAAATAACCATATCTTTAAAATAACTTTTTTCATAAAAATTATAAGCCAATTTAAGTATCTTATTAGAAGGTATTTCAACAAAAATTCTCTATAAAGCTTTCATTTTTTATTAAATTTAATTTTTTTATTCATATAAAGCTTTAAACATGCTCTTATAACTTACATATAAACATAAACAACCATTATTATTACTTACTTAATATTTAAAATTTTCAAATTATTTATTAATTAAATCTACTAAATCTAACGCATAATATATTTTTTGTTTTTAAAACATATTATTATTATTTATATTTTGATTCTAGTTCAATTATTAATATTTATATTCTTAAAAAAAATTTATTATTGAAAAGCTTTGTCTATCTGTTTATTAATTTTTATATTAGTTATTAGTTTCTAGATTATTAAAATTTAAATCTATAGTTAAAATATTGATATTTTAATCAAATGAAACTTCTAGACTATAAACTTCGCTATGTTCTTCATTAATTTTAACATCATCATTATTATTTTCTATTATTTATTTTTAATTTTATTATTTTTCATTATTATTATTATTATTATTATTATTTTTATTATGAGATTTGAATCTATTTATTCCTATAATTTTATTTACTATGTTTTTTTTTATTATACATTTAATAAATTATTTGAATTTTAATTTTAGATTTAATATTCTTCCAATTATCCTGTTAATATAATATATATTCCATCATAGTAATTTTTTGTTATAACTTGATTTTATTTAATATTTATTAATTTAAAATATTTCGATAAAATTCTATAATAATCAAAATGTTAATACTAATTGTTTTTATCTAAAAAATCTTCAAATTTCTATTTGTATTAATTTAAAAAACGCTTTAACTTATCCTATTAAATAAATGATATTTATTCTACAAATTATTTGTTTTGGGAACTATTAAATATGACGTTTTATTTTAATATTTATATTATATCGTTTATATTTTTCTAGTCTATTATGTTTTAATTAGAGTTTATAATTTTTTACATTTATATTTTATACGAGTGTATTATTTTATGTGTACTCAATTTTTTTTTTTATTTTTTTGATACCTTTAATTTTTTTTATTATTTTGACTTTTTTATTTTATTTTAATAAATATTTTAACAAAAATTGATAAATAGAATTATTTTATAAGTATTTTATAGTTCCTCATTATTTTATTTATATGTTTATTAAAAATAAAAATATTATTTATATATATAATAATAATAAAAAAAAACTATTATAAATAATATTTTATATTCTATTAAAAATTTTCTATAAAAATTTATTTAATAAAAAAAATTATTAAAATAAAAAAGATATTTAAATTAATCCGAAATTAAATAAAAAAATAAAATATTAAAAATAAACTAAATAAATATTATAACAAATAATAACTTATTATATCTTTTATTATATTATTTAAATAAATATTAATTTAAAATAAATTAATAGATACTTATATATCTAATAATGCTTATATCTAATTATATCTAATACAAATGCTAACATATAAACTTCAAAATATCTATTTTTAGAATATCTATAAATATGTGAATACTTAATAATAAGAAATCCTTAATTATAATTTGGAATTAATTTAAAATAAAGTCTAATATTAGTTAGTAAATTTAACAAAATTAAAAAAAAATATGTATATTTTTTAAATTTAAAAAAATTAAAATAATAACATAATAAAATGATATTTAAATGAATTATACTTCCTGGAGTTACAAAGTAAACTCAATTTTAAATAAATAATTTAAAATTTTTTGTCATTTAATAAAATAGCAATCATGAGAATTAATAACAAGAAATATTAGAGTTATTATAAACAATTAAATAAAAAAAATTATTATATTAATAAAAGATTAATTTTTTTCAATAATTGAGATTTATTATAATAATTAAAATAATATCTAATAAAGAAAGAAAAAAAAAATAATGAAACTCTATAATTTTAAACAAATAATTTTATATTTAATAAAGAAAAATAAACTAGGATCATTTTTTTTTCTTATAAATAAAAAATATTTTTTTAAAAAAATGTTTTATATTCTAAAGTATTAAAGGAATAAAAATATACAGATAACATTATTTTTTCCAATAAATTTATTTAAAATTAAAAATAATAATAAAAAAAATTATTATATTTTCATATAAAAAGACTATCTTTTTATTAAAACAATCTAATATTCATAATTATAATTTATAAATATATAGATTATAATTGCAATTAATTATTTATTATAAAAAAATCAATAAATCATTATATTCTGAATAATTAAATTTATATATAAATGTTTTTAATAATTTAATAATTAATATTAAATAAAACATATTTTTTTTAAGTTTTTTTATTTATTAAATTCAAAATTATAAATTAAAAAAATATATATATTATAAAAACTTCAAATATACATTATTTTTTTAAAAAAATAATCTATTTTTTATTTTTAAAAATAGGAAAGGACTAAAAAATATTTAATAATAATAACATGTATAAAAATTATAAAAATACTCAGACATTAAAAAAGAAGAACTTATCTTTATAAAAATCAAAAAAAAAAACCACTCCCAATTAATCATAAACTGAATAAAATTAATAAAAGAAAAAACCTGAATGGAATTCAATTTTAACAAATTAAAATTAATATAAATTATCAGCGGCTGAACTTGTAAAAATAAAATTAATAATAAATATATTTAAAATAAAAACAGGTATAAAAAAAAGTTAGTTTAGTAAGTAAACATAAACAAGAAGCAAAAGAAGAATGGTAATAAAGATAAGAAAAATTACAGAAAGGAATAATAGATGAAGAGACAATAAAAATATATAAAACAGCTAAAACAAGCAAAAATTTAAATGTAAATGAAGATGAAATATAACGAAAAAATTTAAGTCAAATGATAAATTATATTCCAAAATAAACAAAATTATTAATAAATGAAGTTGATTCTAATATAAAAAATACGCGAAAATTTATTAAAAAAATGGAAAAATTCGAAAAAACTTAAGACCCGAATTAAATATTAAGGGCTATAGATAAATTAGAAAATATTAAAAGTAATAATTTTTTGGTTGATTATAATGATAAAAGTAAAACCTCAATCTCTCCTGTGAAAATTTATTAATAATAGGTTTAATAAGAAAAAAACTTTTAATATTTTAATTCTTTAGAAAATATTGAATAAACAATAAAATTTATGGAAGAAAAAATTTTAAACGAAAAAAAAAAAAATATTATATAAAGTTATTAATAATAATAATAATAATAATAATAATAATAATAATAATAATAATAATAATCATAATAATTTTAGGATGAAAATAATAATTTGACATATAAAAATATTGATAATGATGCTATTTCTTTTAATTTAACAGATAATTACGATGATATTGAAATCGGAGAATAAGAATAAAAAAATAAATAAGAACTCATAAATTAAATAAATATTTAACCCATAAATTGTGACTTATTTTTTGAAAATTAATAAGAAAAATATGACTAAAAAGAATAAGAATAAAAATAAGTATAAGATGAAGAAGAAAAATAATATAAATCTTATTTTTAAAACTAATATGAGATAAAGTTGAAAAACGATAAAAAATAGGCTTAAATTGATAAACAATAAGAAGAAGAAAAACATTAATAAGAATAGGAATAAGAATAAGTATAAGAATAAGAATAAGAATAAGAATAAGAATAAGAATAAGAATAAGAATAAGAATAAGAATAAGAATAAGAATAAGAATAAGAATAAGAATAAGAATAAGAATAAAATGAAGAAGAAGAAGAAGATTTATTTGTATATAAAAACATTGAATATATAAAATAAATGATACAAGCTACAAAAAAAGACTTAGAAAAAATAGATAATCAAAAATAAAATTTAAATATGGAACTTTTATAATAAATACCAATATAAGTTCCTTAATTGTCTAATTATTAATAAATATATAGCAACTAATAAATATAGCCTTAAATTTTGTGTAAAAAAGCATAAGATAATATATCAATAAAAAGCAAAAATGGGTCAAAAAATAATTAAGAAAATGAAGACCTTTTTTATGAAATTGAGTCTAATAATTAAAGTGCTTTTACTAGTATTGTTTTTCTTCATGGAAATAATTAAATAAATAATAATAATAATAATATTAATAATAATAATAATTATATTAATAATAAAAATAATAATAATAATAATAATATTAATAATAATAATAATTATATTAATAATACTAATAATCTGCTTTTAAATAATAATTATTTTACTAGTAATACTTTTATTAATAATGAAAATAATTCAAATCTTTCTAATAATCTTTTATATTAATAATAATATGAATTTGAATAACCTCGATAACTAAATATTATTAAATAAGAACTTCTTAAAAAATCCGTTTAAAGTCATTAAAATTACAATCCTAATAATACACTTAATATAAGACACCATTTAAAATGATTTTTTAAACAAAAATTAAATAAAATCAACTTATTTTTTTTAATTATATTATAATATTTGTTCTTTTTATACTAATTTTTTTTAAAAAAAAATAACAAAATTAATAAAACAAATATTTATTATTATAATTTTATTTATTTTATCATTTAAGTATTATCTTATTAAATTTTATTTATTATAAAAAATATTCAAAATTATATATAAAAAAAATATGTCAAAAATTTTTTCCACATCTAATATAGAAAAAGTTTTGAAAATAACTGAAGAAGACAAAAAATAAGAAGCTTTTTTAAAAAAAACCGAAACAGGAATTCATTTTATAATCCTAAACCGAAAAGTGAATTCATTTACATTATAATTTATTCGTAAAATCAACGAACTTTTAGACGAAGTTGAAAAAAACGAAGGCCCAACAGCCTTAGTAACATTTGGTTTAAACCCTAAATTTTTTTCTACAGGTCTAGACTTGAATTATTTATTAACACAAGAAAAAAACGAAATATATGCTTTTATATTAGAAGTAATAAGATTATACGGCCGTTTATTAGCTTTCCCAGTTCCCTGTATATCCATGATAAACGGACATGCATATGCTGGTGGCTGTATGTTAGCTCTTGCTCATGATTATAGAATAATGAGAAATGATTTCGGATAATTATGTATGAATGAAGTTGAATTAGGAATGTATTTACCCCCAGGAATGAATGCTGTGTTATAAGATAAAATTTAGGATAAAAATGCATTTAGAGATTTAGTTTTATTAGCTAAAAAGTTTGAAAGTAAAGAAGCTTTTTAAAAAGGTTTAGTTGATAAAATTGTGGATCCAGAATAGCTTTTTGAGGAATGTGTGTAATTTGCAGAAAGTGTAAGTAAATTTGGGGTTAATAAAGAAAATTTTAAAAAATTAAAAGAAGAAATGAATAAAAATGCTATTGATTGTTGTTTTAATAAAGGACATGCAGTAGGTGTAAGGGCTGAAACTTAATTTAAATTCCCTAATCCAAGATTATGAAAAAATATTTTTATAAAAAATAAATAAGATATAAATATTTTAAAATTAAAAAAAAAATTAATAAAATAAATATTTTGTTATTAAAAAAGATAAAATATTTTAAAATTGCATTTAATATATTATTAAAATTTAAGAAATAAGCATATATATAAATACAAGTATAAAAAAAATATAATTGAATATATATTATAAAAAAAGAATATTTAATATTTATAAAAATAATAATTTAAAATAATATGTCTAATAAAAATAAATAAATAATATATAATAGATATATAAAATAATAAAATAAAAATATAAAATTATATTTATATATTTATATAAATATAAAAATATATTTATATATCTATATATTTATAAATAATTTTATATATTTTAATTTTTTTTAATTAAATAATTTATTTTTATTTTTGATCTATTCACAATATATTATTACTTTTATTTATTTTTATTTTACTATATATATATAATAATTTTATTTTTTATTTATATATAATTTATTTTGTTTTAAATAAAATTATTTTTATAATTATATTTACATATATATATTAATTGGTTTATAAGTTAATTACAAAAAGAAAAAATTAACTATTGATATAAAATAAAATTAATATACCTATAAATTATATATATTTCATTATTTATTTATTTTTATTATATTTAAAGTACAATATAAATTGACTATTAGATTTTTTTTATTTTTCATAATATTTAAAAATATAAAATCTTATTTTTATAACATATTATATTATATTATCAAATTAAATATAAAGTTTTTTTATTTAAATTTTTATTTTTTATTATGTTTGACTTATTTTATTTTAAAAAAGAATATAATATAATTGAATTTTGATATTTAGTAATCACAATAAATTCATATATTTAACTAAAATTGTATATATTTGAAAAATATTAAAAAAATTAAATAAAATTTTTTAGTTATTTATTCATTAAAAATATTTTAGATATATTTAAAATAAATTCATAATAAATTAGAATTTAAATTTCGAATTTATTAAAAATATATATTTTTAATCATTCTTTCTTAAATATCTAATATAATTCTTTGTGATAAAATTTAGTTTTAGTAAACATATAAAAATATATATATATAATATATGAAATAAAAAATATTTATATATTTATTTTATATACATATAAAATAATTATATTTATTATAGATTGTTATATTTTTTTAAATAAATAAAATAAAATAAATATTAATATAAAGACTATAAAAAAAAAATCTTTATTTTAGTATAATTTAATTAATAAAAAACATAATAAAAAAAAATATAATATATATATATATATATAAAAAAAAACTTATATATTTTATATCTAAATAATAATTTAATTTTATATATTTAATATTTTTTTTTTTTTTTTGTTTTATTTTTTAAAAAAAATAATAAAACAAATTAATTATTTATATATTTTATAAATAAAATAAAATGTTAAAAGAACTTCTTATAGAATAATAACAGCACCAGCAATAACATCAATAAAATAAAATCGAAAGAGAATCATTAATATCTTCTTTATCATTTCACATATCCTAAAAATCTGAACAAAATAACTAAACAATAGAATTATTGGATTTTAATTAATCCATAGTTAATTCAAATGATTTATATTAAGAATTAAATATTTAAAAAGAGGGTATTATCTATATATTTTTAGCCGGTTTATTATATAGTATATCTGCATTATTAATAAAAAATATCGACAAATAAATATCTGAATTAGAATTAATGTTTTATCGTAGTTTAATAATAATATTGATATTATATATAATATATTTATTGAAATAATAAAACTATGATAATGAAATAAATATAGATTAGAATCATATTACATATATAGAAAATAAAAACGAGTAAAAATTTGTCTAAATCTATTCAATTTTGAATACTTTTATTGTTTTTTAGTATTTTTTTGGAATCAAAAATATGCCTTTGTTTTAAGCTATTTCTATTTAGAATTCTTCATAAGTATTTACATGTTTTTTAAATTTTTTTTATTTTTAATAACTTAATCTACTTTTTTTGCCTTCTTTATTTTAATAGGAGTTTTTTTAATTTCTTTGTATGCACCTTTATTACCTTGTTTTGTATGTTTTTTAGGAGGCAGTGCCCTTTCAGCTTTAATGTAAGTCTTTATTAAAAAATTTGGTACAAATACATCCCTTTTATTGCTTTTATTTTACAGTTCTTTCGTCTAAATTGGCTTTTCAATTATCTTTATTATTATAGGTTTTGATTAATTTAATTATATATCATTTTTGGATCTTTTTTTAATCTTTATAATGGCTCGTTTATAAATTGGGAGTTCTTAATTACTTTGGAAAAGCTTTTTTTTAATTGGAAATGGAAAGATCATAAATTTTCATGTATAATTTTAAATCATAATTTGCATTTTTCTAGAAGCTTTTTTTTAGTATGAAAAAGTGCTTTTTTTACCCTTTTTGGGGTCTCTTCTTATTATTCTAAGTAGTTCTTTTTTATTATTAAAATTAAAAAACTGAATATATTTATATTTATATATATGAAATGTTTTTTATTTACTTTAAAAAATATTAAAAAAAAAAAAAACCAAAAAAACTTAAAAAGATATATATATATATATAATATTTTTAATAAAAAAAAATGTTAGTTAATATTTTTAAATAAGCAATAAAAAATAAATTTATATATCGTAATTTTTGCAAATTACCATCCCCAAATTAAGTATTAGAAGAGGTAGAAGCAAAAGTATTTTAAGTATTAAAATCAGCATCTAAATGTAAAATAGAAAAATTATCAAGAACAGCAACGTTTGAAGAATTAGGATTTGATTCATTAGATGGAGTAGAGTTAGTTGTAGGAATGGAAGAAATTTTTGGATTTGATATTAGTAATGAATAAGCTGAAAAAATTACTACAGTTCCAGATGCAATATCTATATTTAATAAAGTTTTATAAGAAAAATTAAATGAAAATACATCTCTTAAAGAAAATACATAAAATGATGAAAAAAAATGATATTTTTATATTAATTAATTATTATTTTGAATACATATATATAATATATATAGATTTACATTTGAAAATTAAATAGTTTAATTTTTTTAAAAAGAAAATTCTATTAATTCATTTTTATTATAAAAATATTTATTTAAAAATTATTTTAAATTTATTTTTTAATAATATTTACATTTTTTTGTTTTAATTAATAGGTAAAGTAAATATATATTTTAAATATATATATATGTAATTATATATTTATATTTATATATTTATATATTTATATATTTATATATTTATATAATTATAATAATTTTTTGTTTAGAATTATATATCTTTTATATTTTATTTTTATTTTATTTTAATTTTATATTTATAATTTTTTTTTATATATTTTTTATAAAAATATACAAACTTATATAATAAATTTACTATTATTTTTAATATATAAATACAAGATATGTTTTTTTTTTTAACTATTTGTAAATTTAAATATATTTATTTTAAATTTTTTTTTTTTTTTACAATTTTTCTAATCATTTTTAAATGTTTTTATTAAAAATCTTTATTTTTATTTTTTTTATAATTTTAATCTTATTTATGAACATAAACTATTGAGTTTATTTAAGGCAAATAAAAATTAGTTTATAGAATTGATTATATAATAATAAATATTTTTTTAATAAAGAAGAATATTCTTATTAAGATTTTACATAATCTAAATAATATAATTTATATATTATTTAATTTCCTGTAAAATATTTTATGTAACAAAAAAATTATAAATAATATTTTCATTTAATAGAGTTCTTTTAATCATATAACACCAAAAATATTATATTTTATCATGTTTATAAAATCACTATAGTTTAAAAATTTATTAAAATATGATAAAATAATTATCTTTAGTTATCCAATTTTATTTTGATATACAAATAAAATTAAAGAAATATATAATTATATATTTTCTTAATATTTAATAAATGTAAAAAAAGAGTAGAAATCTTATATAAGTATATATTATTTAAAAATTGTTTTAAATATTAATAACATTAAATTTTTATATTAAATAATAAATCAAAGATCATTTTATTATTTTTATAATAATAAATATTTTGTTTATTTTACTAAAAAATATTAGACATAAAAATAAAAAAAAAATATTGTGTATAATATTTATATTTTTTTATAAATAATATATAAAATTGATTAAAATAATTTTTTTATAAAAAAAAAAATATTAAAATATAAAGAAAAATGTTAATAATCAAAAAATTTAAATATATGATTGTAATAAGTGCTTAAAACTTTTAGATATGTATTAAGAAAAAAATAAAATATTTAATTAAAAAAAGATATTTAAATATAAAAATAATTAAAAAAAATAATAATTAAAAATCAATTTAATTATATATATATATATATATATATAT